ATGGCTTTTACCATATTGAGATTCTTTCCTTCTATACCTAATATGCTGAGAGTCTGTATCATGAGCAGATGTTGAATCATGTCAAATGCTTTTTCAGTGTCTACTGAAATAATCAAATGGTTTTTGCCCTGGATTTTGTTGATGTGGTGTATCCCATTTATTGATTTGCATATTTTGAACCATCCTTGTGTCCCTCGGGTGAATCCCTGTTAATAGGGATTTTTTTTTTGAAGTGTTACTGAATTGTGCTTGCTAATATTTTGCTGAGGATTATTGTGTCTATCCTCATGATGAATGTTGGTCTGTGGTTTTCTTTTTTCTGTTTTATCTTTGTCTGGTTTTGTTATCAGGGTGATACTTGCTTCAGAGAATTAGTCAGGGAGAATTGCCTGTGTTTTATTTTTTTGGATTACTTTTTAAAAAATTGGTACTTATTCTTCATTAAGTATTTGGTAGAATTCTTTGGTAAAGCCATCTGGTTATGGGCTTTTCTTTGTTGGGAGACTGGTGATTACTGCTTCAATCTCTTTTCTTGTTATTGTTCATGTTTTGTATTTCTCTTTGTTCAGTCTTGGTAGTTTTATCTCTCCAGAAATTTATCTATTTCCACAAGGTTTTGAAATTTGTTAGCATATAGTCATTCATGGTAGTCTCAAATTATTCTTTGTATTTTTATGGTATTGGTTGTTATGTCTCTATTTTCATTTCTAATTTTTGTTATTTGGGCTTTATCTCTTCTTCTTTAGTTACTCTTTCTAATGCTTTGTCTATTTTACTTACCTTCACAGAAAAAAACTTTCTTTTGCCTTGATTTTTTTTTGTATTTTTCTTTGGGTTTCTGTTTCATCTAGTTCTGCTCTGATCTTAATTATTTCTTTTCATCTACTACATTTGGGATTGGAATGTTCTTGTTTTTCTAATACTTTGAAGTGTAATGTTAGGTTGTTAATTTGAAAACTTTCTATTCTTTCGATGCAAGCATTTATTGCAATATACTTTCCTCTCAGAACTGCTTTTGCAGCATCTCACATGTTTTGGTATAGTGTTTCATTATTTTCAATAGCCTTGAGAAATTTTTTGGTTATCTGTTAAATCTCTTCTTGGAAACATATGTCATTCAGGAGCATGTTGTTTAATTTCCACGTGTTTGTATAGTTTCCAGAGTTTTTCTTGTTACCGATATCTAGTTTTAATATATTGTTGTTTGAAAAGATACTTGAAATGATTTCAATTTTTAAAATTTGTTTAGGCTTGATTTGTGACCTAGCATGTGGTCTATCCTGGAGAAAATTCCATGATCTGCTGAGAGAAGAAACTATATTCTGCAGTGTTGGATGAAATGTTCTGTAGATGTCTGTCAAGTCCAACTGGTCTAAAGTGCAGTTTGAATCCTGTGTTTCTCTGTTGATTTGCTGCCTCGGTGATCTGCCCAGTGCTGAGATAGGAATGTTCAGGTCATTTAGGATTGTTGTTCAAAGTTATCATTTCAGTTCTCTCATTTTATTGATTTTCATGTGGATGTTTTAAATATCTTTTGTTTCTTTCTTCCCATTTTGTTGTTTGCCTTTAGTGTTGTCAGTTTTTTGAGGTAGTAAGATACAGTTTCTTTCTCTTTCATTTTTGTTCTACCAGTGGGTTTTCTTCTTTCACATTTATTCTTGGCAGTGATTATCATTTTTTGAATTCCAGTTGCAGGACTCCCTTGAGGATTTCTTGTAGGTTTGGTTGTGTGGTGGTGTACTCTTTTAGTTTTTGTTTGTCTGGGAAATATACTATTTCTCCTTCATTTCTGAATAATGGCTTTCCTGGATATAGTATTCCTGTGTGGCAGTATTTTTATTTTAGTGTTTTGAAAATATCATCCCTTTCCCTCCAGGTTTGTAGAGTTTCTGTGGAGAAGTCTGGTGTTAGTCTGATTGGTACTTTTGTGTAGGTGACTTGATGCTTTTCTCTTGCTGTTTTTAGGATTCTCTCTTTGTCTTTGACATTTCACAGTTTGAGTACAATATGGCTCAGAGAGGACCTTTTTGTATTCAATCTGTTTGGGGATCTTTGAATGTCATGAATCTGAAGGTCATTGTCTGTCCTTATACTTGGAAAGTTTTCTGCTATTATTTCAATGAATATCTTCTCAATGCCTTTTCCATTTGCCTCCCTTTCAGGAATACCCGTCATTCAGATGATTGTGTGTTATCTGCTCTCTCTTAGATTTTCTTCATTCTTTAAAATTCTTTTTGGTTTATCTGCCTGAGTTCTTTCAAACTAACTTATGATCCATCAATCTCATTACTGTGTATACATCCAGAGGATTGGAAATCACCATGTTGAAGGGATACTTGCCCTCCTATGTTTATCACAGCTATATTTCAATAGCCAAAGTAAGGAAACAAACTAAATGTCCATTGATGGATGATTGAATAAGGAAAATGTGGTATATGCACACAATGGAATATTATTCATCTATAAAAAGTTATGAATTTCTGTGATTTTCAGCAAAATAGAGGATCCTGGAGAAAATTATGCTAAATCAAACAACCCAGATGTAAAACAAGAAATACCACACATCTTCACTCATAACTGTGAGCTGAATCCATAAGTAAACAAATTAACAACAAAGAGAGCTGAGAGAGAGAAAGAAAGAAACAACAATCACAATAATACATTGAACTTTTAGGAGAGAAAAGACCTGCAGTTACTGGAGGTGGAAATGGGGAGGGGAATAAAAAGAGAGGGGATAATGAGATACTGGATAACAGACACAAAGAATGATAATGTATTTTGATGATGAATAGGCTAAATATCCTGTTTTTACCATCACACATCATGCACAACTATTGAAATTCAACTTTGAATCCCACTTGTGTGTATAATAAATTATCATGGTAAATAAATAAATATAAATTGCAACATTAAGGAAAAAATATGCTAGGACAACTTCTAAGGTAATGTAGTAATGTGGGCAATTGATTTGATTTGATTACACAGATTACAGAAGAGGAAATCGAGAAGTATAAATTAAACCTATATTGTATTTCTTTAAACCTTCTTGATAGGCAAATAAAAACATTTAATATGTAGCAAAGCTTTGGGCAAAGAGGCAGTCTTGTACATTTTTCTAATATCCTATTATCAATGTCATTGATTTCTGCTGTAGTTCTTATTCTTTCTTTTCTTGGACTTACTTCAGACTTAATTAGCTCTATCTTTGGACTTAATCACCTCTTCATTTTTAGGTTTGTTATGGTGGATCTTTAGATTTTGATTTTACATATTTCTTCTTCTGTTATGCATATGTTCAATGCTGTAAGTTTTCCTTTAAGCACAGCCTTTGCTCCAGAAATCTCTACCACTCAACACCCAGCACGAATCTACTTTTAAATTTGATGACATTTATTAAGCCCCAGAAGTATCTTCTGCTTTTACTTACCACAGTGGTACACAGAACATTAAAAGAGGGAAGAATGTTTTGATATTTCAAATGATTCTTTTGGCCGGATAACTCATAGAATATATTGTATCTAGGGAAGAATGGACTGACTTGTTGCAATAAAATTTAGTGTTTGTAGAAAAGTTTCATGACATTGTATTTAGCAATGGTTTCTTGCATATGACACCAAAAGCACAGGATACAAAAGAAAAACTATATACATTGTCCTTTACCAGAATTAACTTTGTGCATTAAAGTGAAACAAAAGTTTAGTGAAGTGAAAAGGCAATCATCGAACGGCAGAAGATATTTGCAAATCATATAAATGATTATTTATTAAAAAATGGAGAAGGGATTGAATACATCTTTCCCCAAAGAAGATATAGAGTGATCAATAAGCCCACAGAAAGATGCGCAACATGAATAATCATTAAAATAATTCAAATCGTAATGCAACAAAATACCACCTTCTACTCAATAGGGGGCTTTTGCAGAAAAACAACAACAACAACAACAAACAAACAAACAAAAACCAGAAAATCCTGAGTGTGGATGAGAATGTGGAGAAATTGGAAGACTTGTGCACTGCTGTTGAAAGTGAAATATGATGCAATCACTATGAAAAGTAGTATAGTGCTTCCTCAAAAATTATAAAAGAATCATTGTATGACCCAGCAATTCCACTTCTTGGCACATAGTCAAAGGAAATGAAAGCAGAATATTAAAGAGACATTTATACAGTCATGTTCATGGCAGCATTATTCATAACAAAAAGGTGGAAGCATTCTAAATGTTCGTTGAAGAAGGAATGAGTAAACAAAGTGTGACACATACATGCAACGGAATGTTATTCAGGTTTAAAAAGAAAGAAATTGTGACACATGCTACAACATGGATAAACTTGAAGACATTATGTGAAGGGAAATAATCCAGTCAGACACCCACAAAAATACTGTATGTTTCCACTTATATAAGAAACCTAGAGTAGGGACACTCATAGAGAATGTCTGTCACTTACTGTCTGATGCTTCTCAGGGACAGGCAGAAGTTGAGAATGGGGAGTTATTATTTAATCATACAAAGTTCAGTGTTTCAAGATGAAAAAAGTTCTGGAGACTTCTTTGCAAGATGAAAATATTTCTCGCAGTGGTTGCATTATAATGTGAACGTACTTCATTCTACTGAACTATGCATGGATAATGGTTGAAATAATAATTTTTATGTTAGGTAAATCTTACCACAATTAAAAAATACTAGTTCCATTCCAAAAATTACTATTTATATTGTCAAGATAGTTCAATAGAATAAGAATAAATTAAATAATATTTATTAAATAAAGCTTTCATGAAAGCTATAATTCAACTGAGATGCAGGAGAGTACTAGTGAAACCACTCCTGGGGCATGTGTTGGCTGAAAATCTGTGCACTCTGAGATTTCACTACTTACAGTTTTGTTTTCCAATGCAATCCTCTCCAGAATCTGCCTCATGATGTGACTCTCCAGTGACTTGCATGAACTGTTTTCTTGTATTTGATGATTATAGCTCATGGATGAGTGAAATGAATGACAGTAATGGTGCAAGAAATTGGAGCAGAAACTAGCAGTACTGTGGTAGAGGTAGGTGCACTACCAATGAAGCAGTATGGTGTTATTTGAAGTGAGCTTGAATTCATTGTAGATATATGTTGCAAACGCTAGGGAAAAAGCAAAAAATATGTAAGGAATAGGTTAAGGAAGATGAGAAAATAGAATCATATAACATGTGCAATTCAAATCACAGAAGGCAGAAAAGGAATTGAAAATGAAAACAGAAACAAAGAATGAGAGCAAAGGGTAAAAAACAGCAACAAATTAATGGTAGATATTAAACCTACTATATCAAAATGAGTTTAAACCTCACTGAATATACCAGTTAAAAGACAGACACTCTCAGAGTAGTTCAGAAAACAAGACCCTGCTATGTGTATGGTTTTTACACGAAACCCAGTTGAAATGTAAATTCACATATGTTAAAAGTAAAGGAATGGAGAAACATATACCATACTAACACTAACCAAAAGAAAGGTAGAGAGCTACAGATATATCCCACAAATCCATCTTCAGAACAAGGAAATTTACTAGGTCTATACATACAATGTAATCCAAATCAAAATGAAGGATAGTTCTTTTTCAGATATTGATAATCTGATCATAAAATTTATGTGGAGAGGACAATAACCTAGAATAGCTAATATTGAAGGAGAATAACAAAGTCAGAGACCTGAATCAACTTGGCACAATCTCAAGACTTATTATAAAGCTACAGTAATCAAGATCATGTGATATTGGTGAAAAAATAAACAGATTAATTACTGGAAGAAAATAGAACCTGAAATACATCCACACAAATATAGTTAACAAATCTTTGAAAAAGAAGCAAGTTGGGAAAGGGTGCGTTTTCAACAAATGTTGCTGGATCTGGACTTTCACGTTCACTAAAATATCATTTGTTGCCAAGGACTTAGGGGAAAGGGAGGGATGAATAGTCAGAGCAGAGAGGATTTTGGGGGTAGTGAAACTATTCTGTATAATACTACAATGGTGGGTGCATGTTGTTATACATTGCTCAACACCCATAGTATGTAAGCTATAAACTTTGGTCAATGATAATGTGTCAACGTTGGTTTATCAATTGTAACTAATGAACCTCATTGGTGAGGGTTGTTGATTGTGGGAGAGGCTAAGGGTTGGTGTGAGGATGGGTTCTGGGGGAAGTGTGTACTTTCCACTGATTTTTTGCTGTGAAACTAAAACTGCCTTAAAAAATCTATTAATTGGAAAGAAAAACCTGCTCTAATTCACAACCCTGGCCAGAATGGTGTTTTCATTAGTCTGTGACTAAAAAGGATTTAATACTGTTAACATCATGATTATTTGGACTGAGTTCAGAATTCTATGGGATGGATGTGAGATATGACTGAACTGGGAGCAGTAAACCAGCATTTTAAGACAAAGTCTTGTAGTGATGCATTGGTGAGACTTTATGTCACCCAGTGTCCAACTGCTCATTCCTAAAGAACAAAGCAAAGATTAGACTAGTTAATATCAGAAATCTCTTCTATCTTTAAATTATTTATGATTATTTTATTCTATAAAAAGAAAGGTCCAGGCAGGAGCCTCAGCTCAACAGAAGGGAGGAGAAGTAGAAAAGAGACACCTATATCTCCAGGAATGAAATCATTGCTCTAGAGACAACAACTGAGTTTATTTTATCCAAAATTAGGTGGATTGTTTCTTTTTCTTTCTTTTTTTTTTTTCCCTTTTTGTCTTTTTTCGTGTCCGGCAACGGATCGCAACCCT